CCCCAAAACCCCAAAACCCCAAAACCCCAAAACCCCGCAAATCTGAAAAGTATTGATAATATTAGTCTAAAATATCGGCAAAATGAAAGAGAGTGATGAAAGATCAGAAATCGAGTTGGTTATCTCCAAGAATAACCCAAAAGGTTAGTTTCATATAAATTAGCTGCTCAGAAGAGTTTTAGGAACATATACTATTATTTTGCTCTTGAAGGAAGAATTTTGACTGTTTTATAGACAAATTTGAGGATTTCTCAGACATTTTTGTGCACAGTAAGTTATTCTGAAGTAGATCAGACTGATCATGAGGCAATGCAATAAATGTCATAGCTTAGAATAATCTTAGGGTTTAAAAACTTGAGTGATTTTTGAAATCATTTAGAATAAACCATAGACATCCAATTTTCTTTCATTCGCGCATATTAATTTTTGAACTTTTTGAGGTATTTAGAATTCATCAGACCAAGTGTAAGATATGCTCAGCCACGAGTAACCAAAGGATCTGCTAAGATTTCTCTAAACACACTTTCATCATCAATGAGTACTGCTGAAGACACGGATAGTTTCCTAGCCTCAACAAAATCAAGAACCATAGAGGAAAGAAAGGAAGAAATTCAAACAAATGAAGCCATTATTGAGGCTCTTTCCATGAGACTGTTTCTCAAAGGAGTGCCTTTAGGAGTGAGAACAGCTCCTAAAAAGTCTGCTGAGCCAGCCTCAGAGAGGAAATTTATTAAAAAGATTCAAACTCGCAAGGCGAGTTTGAATAAAAGAGTTCTTAAGAAAGAACCAGAGGTTGTTCGAACTAAAAATGATTATAACTCTTCACAAAATTCTGATATTTCTCAGAATGCTCCTTCTTCTCCAGGAATGAGCAGCACCCTTAGGCACAGAAGGATTGTGAGGAAGCTGGAAGATTCTGAAGACTCAGAACCTACAGGATCTACTCGTCTATGCTATCAGAAGGATGAGCACGGGGTCACGAAGGGGGTCAAAATTAAAAAGAAAAGTAAGAGAGGCAGACCAGAAAAGATTATTGACTATAGCGACCAAGAGCTAGTGGATATTCTTAAGGTACATATATGCTCCAACGCAGCTATCATTTGTGAAGATAGCAGATATGAGTTCAGAGCTGATACCTTGAGAGTACGGCTCATGAGGCTTGCCAAGAAAATCCCTCTATTTTTGTTACATAAGCTTCATAGTAAATCCAAATATAAGAGTACTTCAGTTGAGCATTTTAAAACATCATTCTTGAATACTTTTGTGAGATTCTTCAGGATTGTGGAGTTCCTCGGAATAGAACACAGCATTGAGTGGGATGAGTTCAACAAGAGGAAGCAAGACCCCCCTGAATTCGATCAATTTTGCTCATTACATTTCCCAAGAAGCAAATGTGAACAACTGTTCAAGGCTCAGAGATCAAACCCTGCTATGAACAAGTGGCTGTCACAAAGGACAAAGACTAGTTTAAAGGCATTTATTGAGTTTGGAAAGATAAACAGAGTCTTCTTCTCTTGCATCAAAGTAATGTACGTAGTAGGCAAAGATTCGTTCAGTCAGAAGGCTTGATCAATCATTGAGAATTTCCTCAAAGCTGAGATAGACTTGTATCCAGATAATTACTACCCACCTGAAATAATTAGTGCGGCTAGATAAAAAGCAATCCTTGAAAATAATTGGCTTCGACATTTTGTCCATTTAGAGAAAATTTATAATACTCTCTTTACTAGCTTGGTTTTAGGTGAGTTTGATTCAATTTAAAATAGTTTTAAAGGGGTTTTGGGGTTTTGGGGTTTTGGGGTTTTGGGG